GGTCACTAACCACTACACCACAACCCTGTCCTCCTGTCTCACCTCTCATTAATACCAGCTTCATTTACATTACAAAAAAACACAAAAATGTTAAACTGGCATTTTTCCAATTACAAATGTTAATAATAATTACAAAAAAGGCAGACATAATATTAAATACTGTAATCGACTAAATTTTATAATTTATAATAAATATATATAACTTATAATACAGTATTAACATAAAACTACATATTCTATTTATAAAAAAGGAGAGGGAGATGGGAAGAGATATTCTCAAAGCAGCACAGAAGCAAGTTAAATTAACATTTTGTGTGCCAAAATGTACGGTATAAAGCAGCAAACTATAACATGTAAGTGCATTAAGAGAAACACGACTTTCATCCCTTTATTGGTAGAAGTAATAGTTAACAGTGATGCGTTAAGAAAAAATGGATGAGGTTACATGGTGAATGAAATATAATGGTTGGAGGATAGCAAATGAAGGAATTAAAAATAACTTCCTTTGAGAAAACACAACAATTCCAAAATAAAATAGGTGACAGTGTAAATGCAACAATTTATTCACTATATCTCACTCTCTCTCAAATAAGTTAAGATATACGAGAACCGTTACCCAAATTTTAAGACCTTGTAAGCTGTTATTAATGAAAGAAAAACAAATAATTAAAAAAATAAATAGTTACACATCACCTTCAGACATTATTCAAAATTCGCATACAAATAACAGGAGAAACATAGAGTGCAATAAATTATTGATTTAAAAAACATGAAGCTAAAATTAATTTATTTGTATATCTTTTGCATGTTACACACAAAACGTGTAAAGATTAAGTTGTAAGCTGGGGATAGAAAACTTGAGTAATATACAGTGTATATACTGTAAAGTTATATTAGTGCCTTAACAATGCAATTATATGACAAATAATTAAGATAAAATTTTACACAAAATGTAATATAATTTAACATGTTGACAAAACGGACCATCCATTGAAGCTTTGATTGGCACCAAATCATTATACCATATTTAACATTTTGTATCGTCTTTATAATCACTGTGCATAAGAGGCAAGTGATATCAGTAGAAACCAACAGCTCTAGAGGAATAATGCATTAATTGTATAAAATAAAACTACAACATACCAAGTCAGGATCCTCTCATAAAAATTACACACATGGGGATGAAAGACAAGGATGACAGGAATGGTGTGTCGGTGCAAATATTGTAACATTAAAATACAGATATCCCGAGTGGTGAAGTGCACCAACCAACACGTATTAAAGGGGAAAATGTGGGAAGGTGGCTGATGCAGTATTCGTTCATCGAAAACTAGCCAGTATACTTCACATCCCCTCCACATTTATCACAATAAATGTTCAAATTATTCATTACAAAGAAATCTTAAGAAGTGAAGGAACAATGGTCTTCCAAGCAAAGGTGAAAATACCACCACACCACAACGCTGATAAAGATGGACAACGGGAACCATTGCTACATATAACCCAACAAGTAGTGCCAGCCTGTCTTCAACACAAACTCACTCCCAGTAGACTTGCAGTAAAAAAAAAAAAAAAAAACTCATGCCTTTTACTTTGCTTAAGATTGTTCACTTCTTTATTACTTCTCTTTACAATTTTTTGTTCTTAAATTTTGTCAAGGCCAACGAATAATAAATTTTCTTCCACTGTACATTTATCACTAAATTTTTTATGATACTGCTACTCCAAAAAACTCAAATAAATATTTGGAAGCAAATCAGTAACATAAATAAACTAATAATTGATGGTCAGAGGAAAAGGAGTAGACTGTGGTTGAGGTGGCAGTGAAGACTGTGGTTGAGGAGGCAGGACAATTGAAGGGTGTGTTTAAAATTGTTCAAGGGGGCCAGAAATTCATGAAGGACATTCCATTCATGTCACTGAACTGGACACTAAATAATTTCAAGAGCTTTTCTCCTCTTCTAACTTGTTATGAGACTAAGCTACCCTAATGACTACCTGATCATTCAGCTTATAGCTGCTTGCAGGCTGTAAGCCACTAGATGCATGGTTGTCCAACTACTCTTTGAAGAAACTTATCAAGGGAAGGGAACTATCAGGGGAAAGTGCCAAGCCATTAAACTATATAGCACTGGGAAGGGGTCAGTATAAGGATTTGGGATGGGACGTGAGGGGGGGGGGGAGGAATGGTGCCCAATCACTTGGACGGTTGGGGATTGAAAGCCGACCTGCATGAAGTGAGACCATCGCTCTACCATCCAGCCCAAGTGGTTGGCAGAAACTTATCAAGCTTTCTATTAAAATTAGTGATAATAGTTGTATTTCTCGTGTATATTAGCAATGGGAAAACCAAAGCTCTCAGACCTATGATAATAATAACATGCTTTCTGTAATGATCAGTTTTGTCCTTCTTACTGAATTTATTTTAACCTTCTACTGTATTTCCTCACTCCACTCCGTTATTTGTGCATGTACAGTAGGGACATGACCCTCAAGTAATTCTTGTCTGGAAATCATGTGATGCCTGGAGTGCATAAAACATGGATTAAAAAAAATAAAGATGGTAATGCAGCAAGTTACAATATGCTTGGGTTAATGTTTCATGATTAACACCAAAAAAAGGATGCTGTGCTTTGTAAGTTTCAATTTCACATGGCTACTGTGCTTAATGATTTACAATTTACACAACTGAGCTGTGTTTCATGAGTTAGAGCATACTTTGCTGTGTTTCATGCATTACAATAACACATGGTTATTGTGTTCCATATGTTACAATGCATATGAGTGTGTTTCATATGTTACAATACACATGATTGTTGTGTGATTCATGTGTTACAATAGTATGCTTCATTCTTTCTTACCTATTACAGGTTACAATATCCCATTCTGACTGTGATGTAGCTTTGCTTAGTTTCTGTAGATGAATGCAATCAAATTTAGCACTTTCGCACGGGGACGACTCAGTATGGCATCAAAAATTGGCCTACTTTCGGCTTGGCTCGGTTTTGGACATTACATGCATAAACTCACGTAGGGAATTCTATTGCGAACACATTGATACCAAAATGAAAGACCTAGGACAAGAATTGAGGTAACCAAAGTGAAAAGAGTATACACATTTTATTGCTCTTGAGCGCTCACGGGTAACGTGCGGCCCATTTCTCGGTTTGGTGCGAGTAGTATGCTGGGCTTTTGGACTTTATATGCATATACTTCTGTAGGGAATTCTATTGCAAACACATTGATACCAAAATAAGAAACCTAAGACAAGAATTAAGGTAACAAAATTGAAAAGAACACACACACTTTTCAGTATTACCGCTCGCTCACGTGGAATGCCTGGCCCACCTTGGGGTGGTCTGGTGCTCGCTCGCCCAAAGCGTGAAAGTGTTAACTGAAATATATATTTTTATGCCTAGACAACCTTCAAACTCAAACAACTCGCTACCAATAATGGAACCAAGCTAGTGTATTGCCATCTACTGTCAATGTTCTGTACTTTGCAGTTTCGTGTGAAACTACAATCCTTACAAGCTACATCAACACCTACATTGCAAAAAATTTCAAAGTATACAGTACTGTACAGTACTTACATTTTCTGGTAAATATCGTAATGTGATTTTTTCCAACACCATTCAACCAAAGGATCATTTTTCAAGAAAATACAAATTCATTGCACTTACATACTTGTTATGATGGTAGTATTCAAATGCCACAATTCTGTACTTATTTCTTGGCACCAACAAAAGCTATAATTTAAGGTTGGCTCAGAAAAGACACTACAGGAAGAATGACGGTTGGAGTGTTTTAGAGAATGTTGTGTTTTAGATAAATAATCCCATAATATACATGTTTTTTTCTGTGTTTGTGACAGTAATGAAATATCTATATGATGATTTTCTCCACGTTCTTCACTTTTTAGCGATGTTTAATTTTTAAGAAACGATAATTTGATGTCAGACTCAAGTTAGTTGACCCATGAGGCCATGGGATCACACTGGCAACGAGATAAACAATATTCAAGGGGAAAATTAAAGTATAGAAACACCACAGGATAAAGAACAAACAATGAAGCTATTTATGTTTGTCTGTGATTACAGTCCCACTGGGGTCCAGGGGCAGAGTGACAGTGGTGGATCACTGGGGTCCAGGGGCAGAGTGACAGTGGTGGATCACTGGGGTCCAGGGGTAGAGTGACAGTGGTGGATCACTGGGGTCCAGGGGCAGAGTGACAGTGGTGGATCACTGGGGTCCAGGGGCAGAGTGACAGTGGTGGATCACTGGGGTCCAGGGGGAGTGACAGTGGTGGATCACTGGGGTCCAGGGGCAGAGTGACAGTGGTGGATCACTGGGGTCCAGGGGCAGAGTGACAGTGGTGGATCACTGGGGTCCAGGGGGCAGAGTGACAGTGGTGGATCACTGGGGTCCAGGGGCAGAGTGACAGTGGTGGATCACTGGGGTCCAGGGGCAGAGTGACAGTGGTGGATCACTGGGGTCCAGGGGAAGAGTGACAGTGGTGGATCACTGGGGTCCAGGGGCAGAGTGACAGTGGTGGATCACTGGGGTCCAGGGGCAGAGTGACAGTGGTGGATCACTGGGGGTCCAGGGGTAGAGTGACAGTGGTGGATCACTGGGGTCCAGGGGTAGAGTGACAGTGGTGGATCACTGGGGTCCAGGGGCAGAGTGACAGTGGTGGATCACTGGGGTCCAGGGGCAGAGTGACAGTGGTGGATCACTGGGGTCCAGGGGCAGTGACAATGGTGGATCACTGGGGTCCAGGGGCAGAGTGACAGTGGTAAATCACTGGGGTCCAGGGGCAGAGTGACAGTGGTGGATCATTGGAGTCCAGGGGCAGTCTGTCTAAGGTTGTGTGTTGTAAAGAAGGATGTTTATCACTACGTGTAGTACAAAACGTAAGTATGCTAGCTATAAACTCTATACTCTTACTACTTTCAAAGGATTTTTTCTGTGCATTTGTAGGATTCTCATAGGCTACCTTGTCATGTTCTATAAAACTTTATTCTTTTGAAATTATACAACTTTAGCCATCAATGAAGTAAAAAAAGATTTTACAGACTTACTGAAGACACCAATTAAATTAAAACATGTGACTCATCTCATATATACAGATTTTTGTCCACATTTAAATTTACCCAAGCTGATAAAAAAATCTCCTCTCACTCCCTTCCTCCTCTCTCTCTCTCTCACTCACTCACTCACACTCTCTTACCTAGCACTCTGTAAGAGATCTTCCAAGGTGAAGAGGAGGAGGAGGAAGAGGAGGATGCACTTAAGTTTACAAGTGGTGAGTGAGAGTAGCTGCAGGTGTTAACCCTTTGGCTGCCACACCACATTTACCCACTATCTCTCGGTCAAAATGCAGCCAAAAAAAAAAAACTATTTTCCAAAATGCGCCTTTATAATTACATATCTTGTAAGAAAACATACGCTTCTTCTAGTTGTGTAATTATGTACAAATTTTCTAATACACTGTAGATAATACAGTCTAAAATTAGGGCGAGTGTGTGTTCCCACGGCATATACTGTACAATATTATCGTTATAAATACCGTAAAACCAATTAACTTGATCAAAGAATTTTGTTGGGGTGGAGGCTACATTAATTGTTGGGTTTCTCAATTTTGAATTCATTTCTAATATGTACAAGATGTGTTCTTTCCATAGATACTGTACCATGAAAAAATTATTACAAATATTTTTGAGATACAGTAATTTAAAAATATATAAAAGCATGAATTTTTGTTATGCTATATAATAATTTATACAAGTTATCAAGTCAACCTGTGTGTTTCACATTTATAGTACATCATTATAAATAAAATATACAGACATACTGGCCAAGGAATATTAGGTATTTTTCTCACAAATTAGAGCAACAAATTAATTCTGCAGTTTTGCTTATACTGATTTGTTGTTTTTCTTGTTGATCTTTGTTTTATCTTTTCTTTTTCGATTTCTAATTGGAAAAGAATAATTTGAGTATTTACTACTAATCATTATAGAACAAAGAATGATGGATGAGTCTTGAACAAGATTAAAACATTTACATACAAAACAAATGCTCTTTCCAAGCTTATAAATCTACTCTAATATGCTTCAATACATATCACTACCTTCATTGTCTACAAAAAATGGAGGAATAGGTGTTAGTGTGAGAGTTTGAAGGAAGCCTAAGTGTCAATTTTTGGCACTACCACATGAGCCGATATTTTATTCTGCCACCAACTGCTCACACTCTAAATAGGTCTTTGGGCCTACTTTGAAGGTCAGGGAACCTGGATGAGCATCATACAATTTGAAAATGATTTTCTAGGCACATGGACTTGGGTTGCTTATCTTATTCAAGGACCATTTATCTGGAATCGACCAGAGTCCTTTACTGCAGCCAAAGGGTTAATCATTATGCATTATTGACCAAGAGCAACATCTTAACTTACAAGGAATATGAGCCAATTTGCAGTAGGAAAACCAACAACAACCCGAGGAGAAACGAGACCAAAACAAGAGTGTTGGTGCGTCGTCTCCACCCGACACAACAGGGAGTAAAATGGCACAGATATATACACTTTTACAACAAATGAAACATGGAGAGAGGATCATCTTGTAATACCAAGCCCACTTAATGAGGTCATATGGTGGTAATAAGTTAAATTTGGGTGAAGCAGATATATGTATTTATAAGATAGGTAGGTGTAGGGGGTGAAAACAAATAAAGTAGCTGTAGGTGCGAGGAAAGCATACACAGGTAGAAACAGTTGTACAAAAATTAGATACAAGGTGTGAGACAGGAAGATGCAGGTATGAGGAATGTAGATACATTTGGTAAAAAGGCAGCTGTGCACAAGAGAATACAGTACAGTATATATAAACTCCAAGTGTAAGCAGAGGCCAAGAAAGCAGGGTACAGCATCACCTTATCACAATGCCCATTTTAGAAAAAAATATATCAATCATTCTATTTGAAATAAAACAGGGTTTGTAGTAAAAGCTATTAGGGGACCTCAAAATATATTTGCATAACTAGAGCATTCACAATTTAGTAATCCTACACCATCGATAATCTGATTAGCCTAAATACGAGATTATAGTGCGACCATTTGGAGCCAAAGAGTGAAGTATACTGGACAGCAGTAAAGCAATACTCATCACATTCCCATATGACGTAAATGAAACTACAAATTATTCTAAACAATTTCTGCAATTAATAAACTTTTTAACTGTCAACAATAACAAGTTCTCTGGCATTATAAACTAGTTTAAAAAAAAATAACTCAAGGCAGAAAGCCCTACCAGACAACCAGATATATACATATTATCATCTTATGCTCAAAGTTCTTACCTTATTATGTCAAGTTCTCTAACATACATCATAATAAATAAGGCTTTCTAAAGGTCCTCAATAAATAAAAATTAACAATAATAAATGATATGATTACTAGACTAAGTTGGTTTGAGGTTGAACATCTCACCAACCGGGTTAAGCTGGAGTGCTGCCCAAAACTGAACTGGTTGGGCTCCATTGAGGCAGAGCCTTAACTATAGAGGCTCTGGAGTGAGTCACAAGATGGAGTTCGAAGTTCCTGGGCTCTCTTAAACATCTGTGGATCGCCAAAGGACCGAGCTCTCCAGATCATATTTTCTTCTGAAACATTACGAGAGAAACATTATGATATTTAGTTTAAGATTTTAGTCAATATGATAACATCATAAGAATTTAAAAATATATAAATGTTTTATTTCAGTCCAAAACATTTGCAATTCCCAATTTTTAGTCATATCTAGACTCCTACTGTCTGAATAAAATCAAGTGTATGGCACTTTTCAATTGTTAACATTTCAGGCCAGTTCTTACACCTCATGAACCATCTTACTATTCTTATATTCTGAAGGATAATTACTTACTATAATTCTTTTCCTTAAAACAAGCATTCCTGAGTGTCGAAACATAATCTTCTTCTACATGTTGCTCTAACCGTCGAATACTTCCTTGATATTCTGTAGAAAAATCTGGTTTCACGTAGTATGACACTCCTAAGTTCGTAGTACTACGCTGAACACTATATTTACTGCAAGAAAACAAATAATATTAGTAAATATGAGCAAATATAATATGCAAATAACCACAATATATAGTGCATAAATAAATCTTCAGATTTACTACCTTTTTTAAAACACCAAAAATTATTACTATTCATCCATCTACATATATAGACTACAAACACCAGTCAGCAGCAATAGTTGAGCATATGTATTTTAAGTTAAAAGTTTATGATTACAAGCACACTTGAATTTTCTACTTAGATCTTTATCAAGTGGCGGCAACTATCAAGGACACGCCAGCACCCAAACATGTTAACAGGACTCTTATGAGCACTCATAATTATGGGAGGCTGAAAATATTAAGTATAATAATGAAAAAATAACTTAAACCAAGGATATGTGTACAGAATGAGTAATATGAAAAATAGTGCCAGAAATTACTTTTTTCTTCAGATGTCTCAGTTCTTCATGAGCAGCTTTCCCTCATCAAACTAACTCCAGCAGCTAACTCCATCAAACATAAATCATTATCTTGGATATTTGTTCTCTTAACGCAGTGCATGCTTTTAAAACGGGAACGGAATGCCTTATGAACCTGAATCGAATTCTACAAGATCACAAAGATTTAACAGGAAACAAAAAAATGCCAGAATGTATCCCTAAATTGCCTAAAAGCCTTTGACACTGTCCCTTTCCACCCCATTCCCTCTCAAAGGGCTGCTGCACAAGTTGGAACAGCAGATTGGGTAACTGGAAAAAGACACTGGTCTGTATTAGAACACATTTAACAAATAGGAAGCAAGATTGTGGTGAGAGAGGAGGAATCAGGATGGAGGGAGGTAGCAAGTAGAGTTCCAGGGGCTGGGTATATGGACAGCTACTGTTCTTGGTTTAGGTAAATGACCTTCCAGAGAAAGTAGGATTGTACAATAGGTGTCAATGTTTGCAGATGATAGTAAACTGATGAGAAAGGTAAGAAACCAAAATGGCATACACAATAGTACAAAAGACTCTAGACAAGCCACAGGACAATTTGCTACAGGAATTTAATCTAAAAACATATACAGTATAGTACCAGTACTGTACAGATGCTTGAGTGAGGAGAGAGGATGGCAGAAGGATGGTATAGTTTGAGGGGAAAGTACTTCTGCAGAAATCAAAAAGAAAAAAGGATCCGAGTTAATGAGACTAGCCTCAACACCAGAGGCATACATTAACACAATAAAGTAAGCTACTTATGCAACATATAATGATTTGTTCACATTAATGACTTCCAGAAAAATAACTGAGCAATTCCTCAGAATAATATACACAATGCATGTTAGGTCAGCCCTAGAGTATGCACCTCTGACATGGAACCAACACCTGGTAAAACAAAAGAAAATTGATAAGGATTACAAATTTGCAACAAGACAGGTATCAGAGACAAAAGAAATGTGTTATGAGGACAGGCTAAAATAATTACAACTACCGGGTAATTAATTTAGAAGAGAGAACACAATGAAATATGATCACAATGTGCAAAATAATGGGATACAGAAAATGTACATAGAAACAGTCTTTTCTTCATGAGGGACAACACAACCAGAGGGCGGGATGAAATGTGGAAACAGACAAGCCAGAGACATGTTTGTGTGCAGTTAGAGTAGCCAACAAGTAAAATGAGTTAACCAGAGGTGGTGGAAGCAAGCACCAATTACAGCTTTAAGAGCAAGTATGATGGATTATAGAACCATCGGGAGTCATGAAGGTACCAGATATAAGCCTACACTTGACTCTCACTCCCCAATCACACAAGGGTAAGCACTCATCAGCAAAGATGAGTGCTTACCCTTGATCCATCTAACTTAGATCTTGTCCCATCCATACAGAAATTATACTGTTTTTGGTAAAAAAAAAAAAAGGCATTATTAAATTTAACATAATGTGTTTATCAATCCAAAAGTTACAAGTCTTAAAATTGTTAATTAACTAAATTTTGTTTGTTAGCCAAATGTGGCAATTAGGTATGACATAGGAACTGGACCATCAGCCCTAATCAACCTTCGAGCTACCAGGTAAAGATAGTCACACGAGCCTGATGCAACGAATGTAGTCCTACTGCGTTAGTGCCTCAAGCTGAGGGATAGCTACTCGAGGGGACCTGCCCAGAAAATGTAAAAAGATATATTTCGTATATGATACTACCAGCCTCTATATAGTCAATTAACCCAATCAAAAAGAATACAGACACAAGAGAACACAAAACAATGTGGTAAGCACTATCTCAATAACAGCAGATATGATTCTAAAATCTACTGGAATTTCTCAGAAAATTAAGGTAGTGTACTATATTACAAAGAAATTTGATATAAGATTTAAAATTCACTTCCAGCAGATGAGTATGAGACAGAACTATGTCTGATCCGGGTGTTGAGACCAAGATGGAAGTCAGAGGCCAAGGTAAGATTCTGAGAATGAGCTGGGAGTCCATAGCTGAGCAAGAGTCCGAGGCTGAGCTGGGAGTCCGAGGCTGAGCTGGGAGTCCGAGGCTGAGCTGGGAGTCCGAGGCTGAGCTGGGAGTCCGAGGCTGAGCTGGGAGTCCGAGGCCGAGCTGGGAGTCCGAGGCTGAGCTGGGAGTCCGAGGCTGAGATGGGAGTCCGAGGCTGAGCTGGGAGTCCAAGGCTGAGCTGGGAGTCCAAGGCTGAGCTGGGAGTCCAAGGCTGAGCTGGGAATACAAGGCTGAACTGGGAATACAAGGCTGAGCTGAGAGGACGAGGCCAACTGATGGGTGTCCAAGGCCAAGTGTGAGTGGCCAAGATGGTGATTGTACTCCTCTTAGCATCCATGGCGAGATGATCTGTTCTCATTGCCTTAGCCACCTCCACCAAAGTGTTTTACTATTATATCTGTTTATCTTAACACTATCACACTCCGTTGCCGCCACCCGTCGTCACTCATTTTTCTCGCGATTCTGAGCGAGTGACTATGGCTCACGTCATGTATTAAAATACAGTACAGTATTTGTAAAAAATTCAATTTTTATCCGGTCAACTTCTGGGTGGTTTTAAAATGATCACCTTTACATTGAGCACAACTTGATACAAAATGAAAGACGTAACACGAAAATTTATGTCAGAACACTGGAAAGATATAAATAATTTTGTGGTGATGAATGTCAAAAAGTGTCCAAAAGTTAAAATATCTGTTAAAATTCCATTTATTGTTCTATTATTATGGGACTAGTTTTAAAATACACACTTTTATATTGCAATTTGATACCAAAATGAAGGATGTGACGTGAAAATTGATGTCAGAAAGATAATAAATACTTTTGTGGTCCAAATGTTAAAATATTAGCTAAAATTCCATTTATTGTTCTATTACTATGGGCCTAGTTTTAAAATATGCGCTTTTATATTGCAAACAATTTGATACCAAAATGAAAGACCTAACACGAAAATTGATGTCAGAACACTAGAAATATATAAATAATTTTGTGATGATGAGCATCCAAAGGTTAAAATTTGTTAAAATTCCATTTATTGTTCTATTATTATGGGACTAGTTTTAAACTACGCGCCTTTATTTTGCGAACAATTTAATACCAAAATGAAACAAGTAACATGAAAATTTATGTTATCAAACTGAAAAGAGTATGTACATTAGTCTGTAGGTGTGCCAATTGGTGCTCGTTCACTGGTAACTTGGTCGACTTTAGGCTTTGCTGTGGGAGTCACGGCGGGCTTTTGGACCTTATATGCATATATCCCTGTTGGGAATTCTATTGCAAACACAATAATACCAAAACGAACGACGTAGCGTGAGAATTAAAGTGAGCAAACTGAAATGAGTATACACATATCGGTGTCGCCGCACACTCGCCCGCACCAAATGGGCTAGAACCTGGCCCCTTCAGAGAGGTTGCAGGGAGCAATGGCCCTGGAAACCCCCCGTGTGGTTGAGGGTTTTTCTTATCTGCCATCGACCGGGGTTAAGCACCCAGAAAGGTAGGCATAACAAAACGAACCCCACATAAGAAACTAACAACAAAATTCGAACAGAGAGGTAGAACTCCCTACAATCCCAAGGAAACAAGCAAACGTAACACACTACTGCCGCGCCACTCGTCCGCGCAGCCCTCGCCTCCCCGAGAGGGGGAGGGGAGGGGGGGCGGACGAACCTCACCGCACCGGCAGCATAGCACTCCAGTTTGGAAGCTAAGCTTCAACAAATGCGAAAAAAACGCCGACCTGTGGGAGGGAGGGTTGCCAGGGAGCCCCTCTGGTCCCTGGAACTTCATACCCAAAGAGAAGGAAAAGAAAGGGCTGACCCGGGAGGCGGCCGCCACAAACTTTGCAACGCGAAGTCGAGACAATAGGCTGCAACCTGCGACCAAAAGCAACACCAGAACGTCCAGGAGCAGACATGCGCACAAAATAACGGGTGGCCAGGAACCTGTACGACCTCCAAATCCCTGCGCCCGAAATGAGTCCAAGACACGTAACCAAACACGTCAGCGAAAGATGCAAACGTTCGAACGGCACGGGCGCGAGGATAGACCGCAGGCAGGCTTGACTTAACCCTGAGGTTGACCTGGGAGACCCGAGCCCTGGAACAGGGAACGAGGGAAACTGGATCAACCCAAAACGCATCCCCAGCCACGGCACGTAGGTAATGGCGAAGAGCCGCAACTGGACACAACACATGATGCACCCCCTATAATTATACTTACGTAAACATAATTACCCCCCGGCAGAACCAACCAAGCATCAATAACCCAAGGACCCCTCCGGAAAGCAGCCATCTCAGCCTTCACCAGAAATGATGGAGAAGGCTGCAAACGTACAAACCTATCACCAGAACCAAAACAGCAGAAACTCCTGTGCTGGAGGATAGCCAGAAGCTCCCCAACCCGACCTCCAGAGGCCAACGCCAACAAATATAGGACCTTTGAAAAACAATCTTGAACCGAAGGGGCTACCACAAACCGAGAAGAGGAAAGATAAAGAGCAGCCTGACCAAAGACCAGGTCCAGGATGGATCA